ATCTTTCTTACTTAATGTCTCTACAACATAGAATGTAGACATTGCACAGTTGGTCTATGGAAGAGCACAGGAATATGTGCTAGCATTAGGCCTTGGCTTAAGTTTTACTTCTTGTTATAAAAGGCAGTGGTATTACAGGCCAGGCACGGTGGCTCACGCCTGTAATCCTAGCACTCTGGGAGGCTGGGGCGGGGATCGTTTGAGCTAAGGAGCTCGAGATCAGCCTGAGCAAGAGTGAGATCCTGTCTCTACTAAAAATAGAAAGAAATTATCTGGACAACTAAAAATATATAGACAAAATTAGCCGAACATGGTGGCGCATGCCTGTAGTCCCAGCTACTCGGGACACTGAGGCAGAAGGATTGCTTGAGCCCAGGAGTTTGAGGTTGCTGTGAGCTGGGCTGATGCCATGGCACTCTAACCTGGGCAACAGAGTGAGATTCTGTCTCAGAAAAATAAATAAATAAATAAAAGATTTCACAGTCTAGCAAGAAAGCAGACAGGTTTATAATTGTACAAATACAGTCATGCATCACCTAATGTCAGCATTCTTGAGTGCATTACACAAACCTAGATGGTAGAGCCTACAGGCTGTATGGCATAGCCCATTGTTCCTGGGCTGCAAACCTGTACAGCACGTTACTGTACTGAATATTGTAGGCAATTGTAATGAAATGGTAAATAACTAAACATAGCATCTACACATAGCAAAAGTACAATAAAACTATGAAATTATAATCTTATGAGAGCACTGTCATATATGCAGTTTATTGTTGACCGAAACGTCATTGTGTAGTGCATGACAGTATGTACTCAATTACAATGATGATAAATGCTACAGAGGAATCATGGGGACTATGAGCCTATAATGGGGATGCCTGACTTACTCAGGGGGAACCAGAAAAAGCTTCCCTGAAAAACTACAGCTACACTGAGATTTGAAGAGTAACATGGAGGGTGTGGAGAGCAGCAGCAGGGGAGGGGAATTGCCAGACCAACGGGCAGTAAGAGTTTCGCAGCGAAGGGAAGAGAAGCCAGGAAGGCCGAGGCAGGCAAGCTGCTGGTTGTGGAGGAACTGGGAGAGTAGAAGGTCGGGGACACTAGCGTGTACCTGGCAAGGACAGAGCAAGGACAGAAGGGTGAGCCAAGAGCAGGTTGTGCATGACTGTAGACCTCTGTGATGTCAGACTTCTTCCTAAGACCATATGGCCACTCTGGGGTTTTAAGCAGGGTGGGAGGCACACGCAGGCTGCAACCTGACACTTACAGTGGAGGGGGCCATCGTGTAAGCAAAGAGACCAGTTAGGGGCTTTTGCAACAACCCAGCGAAAGTCGTAGACGTTTTGCTTTATGAGCTCTGGGAGGTGCCCGTGTAAATAGGAGGCTCTTGGAAAACGGAGTGGACTGGTTTTGATGTTAGTTGGATTTGAAAGAGAGGGCGTGTCGAAGAAAATTCAGGGTTCCGCTCTCGACCAGCCAACAGCCCGTTCGCCAAGGCGGGGTGTTCCTCCTCCTGTTCCCGAGGCAAAGGCTGTTTGGGGGCTGCACAAAAGCCCGTTATGTTGGATGAGTAGTGCTTCCCATGTGAAATAGGCAGGAGCATCGTTGTCTGGTTCTCAAGAGAGGGCTCTGGGCTGGGAGTCGTGGCCAACTGGCCAACCAAGGGCCACGGGAGTGCCCACCGTAAGTGCGGACAGTGAGAAGGGCCCAGAACAACCCTCCTGAGCCAGTGGCTCACTCCCCACTCCCAACGCCAGCTCAGAGAAATGGTGTGACTGAGCAGGGCTCTCGAACTGTCCAGCATGCACGCACGCAATCTCCCAGCCAGTACATTTTACTTTCATGAATACAAGATAAAAATGTCAGAATCCGAGTTACGGCATTTTCATGGAAAAAGATGAGCTGGTTTACCTAGACAGAGAAATCCGAGTCACAGCATTTTCATCTGAGTCAGGGCACCAAAGGTGTCAGGGTGGGAGTCTGCCCTCGGTTCTTGGTGTGCTCTTGGCGGAAGAATGACCAGACACACCAAAGTGTCAAGTCCAGACCATTATCCCAGTCCTCTGACTCCTTACTTGGAAAAATCACCAGCAGGGCCAATGCGACAGAGTAACCCCAGGCAGGGAACAGTTTCACACGAGCAGCTCTTTATTATAGAATAAAACAGGTCTGTCTCCAAGAGTAGAGAGAGACAAACCAACTCACTCACTGACCCACTCGCTACTCCTGAGTCTCGGATTGTTTCCTTTTATTAACCCAGTCTGGAGGAGGGCTCTCAGGAGGTGTAGGATGTTATCCAATGATCAACAGGTGTCCTCAAAATTCCATCTGTGCGTATGATATGAGCTCTCTCTAAGAAAGCCCACCTGGCAGGGGGGAAGGGTGGTAAACCGCATGTAGATTCAAGCTAAAGTCATATTAATTGCCCTTAGGTTACTCTAGGTCACTTTCTAAACCCTATCATGCCTGGGCTGGGGAATTCCCAGATGGACAGAGCATCCCTCCTCCCCCAGGTGCAGCAGCTGCTCGGGATGGGATTAAGGGTGGGGCGGCACCAAAATGGAGCACCCGCCCTTATCCTTCTTCCCAGGTGGAACAATTGCTTGAAACAGCACCAAAGCCGGGAGCCCTTGTTCCGAGAAGAGCCGGAGATCCTAACTATCCACCTCACAAAACCAGACACGTCCCCAGCCCACATTACTCCCCATAGGAGCATCTTCAAAACCCAACTGATGTTCACAACCCCTAAGGCTCATCACAGCAGCTGCACTTCAACACACACTGCACTAACTGTGCCGGCCAAGTCACCCTCAGCCAGTACAGTAAAGTCCCCCCCGATGTGTCACAACGTACCCCCAAGTATACTGGGTGGTCATTTTGATACATGTGCATATACTTCTTTGATAAAACTTTTAAAAGCAAATATTTAAATTTCTCTCTCAACTTTTTTTGCCTCCTTATAACTGGTTAATTGGTCTGACCCATAACTGGGTAGATTTCGCTTACCCCTCTGGATGTACGAACTTGGAAGATTCTTCCTCTCTGGCCCCCTCGTCATAGCGGGATCTGGGTAAGCACAGGGCTCGGAGCGGGGGAGACCCAACCGGACCTGCAGGGCAGAGACACGTGGACTCTGCACTCTGACATTCCAGGATTGGCATCTCCTAGGTTGGACAACTCCGTAACTATCCACCCTCCTCCCCTTCTCTCCCAGCGGCAGTTGAATAATTAACCGAGACAGTGCTGGCTGGGCTTAGAGAGACTCAGCAGGAATGAAGATCAGTGAATACATCTGACTGTTTAGTGACTTCTTTAAACTGATGTTACATTGCTCTGAAACGGTCACAATACATTTTATAATAAACTCTTATTAATTGATGAATGGAAAGACCCTTTTTAACATACAAATTGACATCATATATCTCTTGCACTGTTCGTCCTTGAGAACAATGCCATATACGTCAGGTAGGTCCAACAGAACCTAAAAGTGCTACAAAATCCTACATGACCCAGTGAACACAAACTATGCTTAATAGCAAATAATGACAAACACCTGCCGATATTTAATAATGAAGACTTGATATTCTCCAGCATCAAAGAAGACGTGACGGCTTGAAGTCTCCCGCCTCCGAAGCAAATGCTAAATGGAGTCCGTTGAGTGCCCGCAGGTAGGCGGATTCCTCAGTTGGGTCCATTTCCGTGGCTGGAGTCAGGGTAAACTGCATCACCCCCTTCGGGGTCCAGTCATCTTAAATGGGGTGCAGCAAGTTGTTAAAACCGACATTTCAAGGGGACAGCAGAAAAAATAAAATAAAATAAAACCGACATTTCAAGAACCAACAGAGAGATGGAAAAAAGTCGAAGGCAAATGTGTTATGCTTTGTTTTTATTTGGAATCATAAGAGGGACATTTTGAATAAACCCTTAAATTCTTCTCCATTAATGTGATTTAAATAATGAATTTATAGAGATTGAATTGATCTGTTTACATACACCCAACTGCAGAAAAATGACTTTTTTTTTGTTTACACCATCAAATCCAATCAAGCCAAACAAGATAGTTAACTAAAATGATTAATGAATGCAGCATTAGCTGATGGCTTTAAATTTAGAACGTGTTACTGATGTCAGGGTTGATTAGTTCTGTATCTAAAACTGATGCTATTAAAAGCTTTGAGCAATTTAGATGTTGTCATTGAGTAAAATTCCAATGGGGTGAGAGAAATTCTATCAGGATTGATTCTGCTATGGTGCACCCCGCGCACAGATGTTGCAGAGAGAGAGAGAGAGAGAGACAGCGAGAGGGCCTTTACTGATGGGGTTGGCAGAAAGAACTGGAGACGGTGGGCTGATTGGGTGGCATCCACCACAGCAAAGGGAAGGAAGCTTGGAATGAAAAAAAATACTCATCTTTGCATGAGGAATCCCAAGTGGCATCAGAGTATGCATATTGATCATTTCAGCTTCAGAACTTTTTAAGAAGTGGGAAAAAAAATAAGTGAAGGGGAGGCAAGAGGTTAACACAGTACCATGCTTTAGTAACTCCTCTGAAAATGAATCCACAGGGAAATCATTGTAGTCAGTGGTGGAGACCAACATTTTTATTAATCAGATAAAAGAGAAGAGTGGTAAAGCAAAGGTGATCATTGGATGGAATGATTAGGTGTCAGGGGCAGTTCGGGACCTAGAAAGCCAACCGGAGCGAGGATGCCAATCGAATTGCAAGGTCAGAGTCTAACTAACTGAAGAATTGCCCTGTTCATGCTTAAAGGTTAGAATGAATCCAGTCCTGGGGGCTATTGCACAGGACTTGGGGAAATCAAGTTGTTTCACCGTGACTTTCGGAAGATGTGTAATAGGGGACTTTAAGCCATTTCCAATGTCTGTGCCTTTGAAATATTTTATTATTAGTCCAAATGTCCCAAGACATTTTAAATGGAAGGGAAAACACACTTTACTGGACCCAAATTCACTGGCTATTTAGAGTCCATCACCGCCCAGGGGCCTGGGGAAGGGCATCGGTCAGTGGGTCAGATGAAACCGGAAGGTCCCGTAGTTATTCATGCAGCTTGGCTAACTCTAGGAAAAAGGCAGCAAATAACTTGGACCCCTCTATGTAGTTCCACCTAACAAAAGGAAAAACAAAGAGAAACTTTATTATAATTTCCATTCAAATGAAGGAGGAAAAATATTCTACCATTTACACAGAAAGATTTGATGTTATAAATTCAATCTAAAGTATTTAACATACTTCTGAGATCCCAGGATGAAAGGTGCTTGGTAAGTTCAGCGTGAAAATGGCGATATTACTAAGAAGATGGGAATCAGAGCTCGACTCAAGGCCAAAGGTCCATTTCCCTTGGTGTCTTATCATTGCCAGGACGTGGCTATCAGAGTCAAACGCTTGCTGCCCACTAGTCCGGGAGGCTCAGAGATTTGCAAATCTGCCAGTCGTGTACACATCAAATATTCCTAAATGTGCTTTGTTATGGACTGAATGTTTGTGTTTCCACCAAATGCGTTTGTTGAAGCTCTAATCCCCAATGTGCCCGAATTTAGAGACGGTGCCTGGGGGAGATGATGGGGTTAAATGAGGTCGGGGGGGGGGGGGTCCTAATGCCATAGGGCCCGATGCACGTGTGGCGTTCGTGCACCCAGTCTGTCGTCTTTTCCACTCGCACATACGCTGAGTGGGCGACCACCACGTGCAGCCCTGGTTTGTGCAGGGAGGACCCAGCCCGCGACAGCAGTCGCGCACCTGTTGATCTTCTCGTTCTGAGAGTGTTCCCCGTCATCCACAGCTCCTAGCGGGAGCATCATCACACTCTTGCCGATAATCTCCTGGAAAATTCTGGCGATTGGAATGGTTGATCCGTCCCGGATCATATCTGGGTCTGTCCCAAACACTGAAACACAGGGAAAGAAGACATGTGGGTAAAATGACAAGACTACCCCAGTAATCTCAAGAGCAGTGTTCACTTTATCCTTGTCTTCCCTGTTCTCCCTTCTTCCTGTTTCTTTTGCTTCTTTACCACTAGATTCAGTGCCTGGGGTAAGTGAGCTCCTTGATATCATGCAACCTTATATTCTAAAATACTCGATAGAGTCGAGAAGGAAACTCCAGATGCCTTCTTTATAATTACCTATTTTAAAAATATTATTTTAAATAAAATTTTATTTTAAACTAATTTTTTAAAAGTTTAGAACTTAGAAAAGTTGCAAAAATAGTACAAAGTTCTCATATATCCCTTACTCTGCCTTCCCTAATGTTAACATCTTACATAACTATTGTACAATGATCAATAGGAAATTCACACAGGTACGATATTATTAGCTGCACTCCGGACTTTCTTTGAATTTCACCAGTCTTTCCCTTTTTCCATTCCAGGATCCAATCCGGCATCCCGCACTGCATGTTAGGATTGCTTCTCCTTAGGTTTTTTTAATTCTGCGATGGTTTCTCAGTGTCTCCTTGTCTTTCACGACCTTGGAGCACCTTGAAGGGTACTGATCAGTTGTTTTGTGAAATGTCCCTCATTTTGGGTTTGTCTGATGTTTTCTCGTGATTGGAATGGGTCATCATTTTTGGTAAGACACAAGACAATGCCTACTTTTATGGTTTCTTCATGAATTAACTACTACAGAAATGGGACTTTTTAAAGTTTTTTGGTAACAGATATACAAATAAACAGTTGTACTAACCATCGCCAGAATGTCACAACGTTTCTCCCAGCTTTCGAGGTATCCTATAAAATAGTTTTAATTGCTATCCTAGGTTCCAGAAAGAGATGAGCTCAAACCTAGCTTAGAGGACAAGTGGCCAGTGATGAGGTAGGAATGAAAAACAAAACAAAGAAACAGAAGAGAACATTCCACCTCTGTATTCACAAAGCACGGTGTAAATGTGAGTACAGGTAATCTACCCGTTAGCAGCACTGGCTTAGCCCGCAAGTGGACAAAACTGTGTCTCACACGTTCCTGCGGGAGCGTTTCAGACCTCTTCATTGTTGTTTGACATTTCAAACACACCTGTCTCCCCAGAAGGCATTATGTTCACCGTCCCAACTCCTCATCCTCTTTCCTTCACTCCCAAATTCTACTAGTAAAACACCTGCTAATTGGGGGGAGCGGGAGTGATGATGTGGAGAAGTTAGGCTTCTGTACTTCCCAGACTTCTTCTCCAAGTCTTCATGTCTGTGTTCTTTGCACTGACAACCAGTAGAGAGCTAGCGCTTCAAGGGGGTCTGGGCTCCAATCCCAGCTCTTCCTCCATTAGCAGTGTGGGCTCAGGCCCCAGCTGTAATACAATGCTGCAGGTCTATATACACGTGCCACTGTTTTCCCACCTAGCTGGTGCGGAGACCCCAAAACTCCTCCATTTTGCCATTGTTGGCAGGGTCGCCTCCTGTTGCAGAAGCCAAAGAGACTGGATGTTCCCTCTCCCCGCCTTGCAGCCAGTGCCCAAAGGATTTCCCTTACTTTTGTACAGGTTAATCTGTGTTTTGAAAGGATGTTTTTATGTTGACCAACATTTTCATGAATGTTGCTCAGGAGGGTTTGAAGGTTTTCTAGTTTAGCATTTTCCCCCAAATTCAGGTCTCCAGACTTCAGTTTGAACACTGCCCTTGCCACTCATGGCTGGGTGCCTTTCCCCAAATTACTTCATTTTTTTAAGCCTTAACGTTTTGCTCTGTACGATGGGGAAGGCTGTTGGGAGGATTACATGAGACTGTGTATAAAGCACATGGTGTGTATTCAAAATATGCCGTTTATAAAAGGCGATATTTGAGTTTTGCCAGATGTCCCACAGGCACCACTCCCCGATTCCACTGCAAACCAGAAAGTCAAAATATCTTAAGGTCCCACCTGTTCTGATCGCTCTTTTGGCTGCAAGATACTGGCTATCGTTGATGTTTGCGATCCACGGGGGCAGTCCTAGTACCATGGAAACGGCCATCTGGTTGGAACTATTTCTTTTGGAGAAAACATCTTCAAGATGATGCTTCACCTAAAAGGTGACATTTTCGGTAGTCAGAGAGATCTTCGAGTTATTCTCTCCAATGGTTAATACAGCCTCCATCAAGAGACTGATTGAAACCTGAGTGCTATAAGCTTACATGGTTTGCCAGAGGGCGCGACGTAGAGGGAGATCCCTTTGCAGGGCTGCAAGCAGGAAGCCCTGGGCTTCCCCCTGTGGGAGAAACTCTCTCTCCCTCCCCCTGTAGCCCCCTGCCCTGCAGCCCCAGTCCTGGCCCCCACCCCCTTCTCACCAGTGTCTTGCACACGGAGGTGTTTGAGTAGCATTTGCTGAAAATTATGAGTCATAATACAAGTAGAACATCTCAATGGAAATATCCCTCTATGGGGACTTATCAGCACCCTAACGAATATTTTGGGAATATTAAGCCTTTGAGAAATTTCCAAGAAGTGGGAGCAATTCTGAGCTGGACCATGGAGGAGACTTGTTTTAACATCCTTCCCTCTACCCTGCTGCTCCTTCCCAGTTGCTGCTGTGGAAACCCTCCCGGGCAGAGCTCTGTACTCAAATATTTCCCCCATTCATTCCTTCAAGCAACATTACGGAACATCTAGAACGTGCCAGGGACTGTTCTAGGTGCTGCAGATACAGCTGTGAGCGAGGCGGAGAAGGTCCCGCCCTTGTGGAATTTGTACGATGTGGAAAAGAGGCAGCACATCCAAAAAGGAGGAGAGATGGAAGGAAGGAGGGAGGGAGGGAGGGAGGGGGACTACTTTAGAATACAATTCTTGTCTTGTGCTAACAAGACAGTGAAAGAGGATGCTGGAATCGAGAGTGACTATTGGGATGAGGCGTTTCTTAAGGTAATTTATTCGAGAGTCTACTTTCTGTTAAACTAACTCGAGACAAACCGATGATAGGTTGGTAATTTAGACACATAAACTCCTTCCAGATAGCGTCTTCATTCCAATGACTGCTTTCACAGTGTTGATCTCAGACAAACCGAGATCAGGCCTGAGATTTTCTGGCTCCAGCCAAGCGTAGGCTGTTTCCTCTCCCTCTACGCATAAAACCCACCTTGCTTTATATCTACCATCTAATTTTTTAAAATTTCTTGTCACTCCAGCTCCAAATGGTTATTTGCCTGACTACTGTAATTGCATCTAAACAAGGAAAGAGGTTTTTAGTGAACAAAAGCAATATTGCTTTCTTGACATTTGTTCCAGTCCTTTTGTATTGGGGGAAAAAATGATACTTCAATGGTGACAACTAATTGCTTGCTACACTGTGACGCACAAAATTCAGAAAGGGTGTTGCCAGACGGGAGGACGATGAACAGTTGTTACCTGTTTTTCCACCACAGACGCATTCATGTGAGGGACGAGCCGGATTGAAAATTTTCCTACAACTCGGCCAGGTATGACGGTCTTAGCCCCGGGCTCATCAAACGCACCCTCGATGCCATGAATAGAAAGAGACGGGTACCTCCACAGGTGCATGAGAACTTCCTCCTACATGAAAATAAAAGTATCCAAAGAATCTTTAATTAAAACTCAGTCGAATTGCATTGCTTGTATTACCAACCTCTGTCCATCTGAGACACCATCATGGTAAGTTAATTATCACCTCGTGAGGCACCTGACATCACCATGTTGGACTGATGACACCAGTTGGATGTTCCCCCCAGGACTCGAACCTGCCCGCTGTCCTCCCACACCATGGCCGCCCGAGCCGCCCCCCACCGAGAAGCGCCGGTATTGCCCGAGCTCTGGAGTTTGCAGTTAATAGATGGCAAAGGGGCCCTTTCAGAAATTTGGGTTTGATTATAAATGTCTATCCCCAGTCACTGCAATAACTGTGTACTAAATGCACTTTGTTATGCAGAAGACTTCAAAGAACTCTTGGGACGTTTGGGCCGGTTTTCTGCCTTCTTATGGCCATCCCAGAGCTAGTCTGAGGGAAGGTTCGCTTCATAAAAATAACTCTGCCAGTTCTTTTCAGCATGATTTCCCCTCCCTTTGCAGCCCCCCAGGAATCAGCCATAGCTACCAAACACCTCATTGTCAGGCAAGCATTTTACACAGAGGGAAGAGAAGTAGAAAAGAAAAAAAAAATACAAATTTGCCAATAAGGAACACTTTTGGTTTTGTGTTTACTGAGCACACTGAGGCAACAATGTATTAATTTACAGATTAACCCCAAAGGCTCTTGGTTTTGTCCGGAAAAATCAACAATTAGAGATCTTGGAGCTGAAATAATCTCAGACTCCTCTCAGTCTTTGAACAGGTAAGAAGCCCAGCTCACTGGCCAGGGTTGGGAAGGCTGGCTTGGGATTTCAGTTAGTAAACTGCTTTGGAGAAGCACGGCTGTGAAATGAGTAATTGCTTGCGGTTAGGTGCCAGCGAACGGGACCCCAGAGGAAGGGCTGGTTGACCGAGCCCACAGGAAAGTGGCCGCGAACATCAGACTCTGCCTAGGAATTAACAACTGCTTCAGGTTCTAAGATACACAGAATTAGCAACAGACGATACGTGAGACGTGAATTATCATCGTTCCTCTTTCCGATTATCCACCAATTTGTGGCCGTACCTTTGTATCAAACAGAAATTTCTTAACCTGGCTGCTGTTCCGGTATTCTTCTAGGTCCAGATCGATGGATTTGTATATGTTCTTTTCCTCTTCTGTAAGAGACGCCACGTGGTCATAGATTCCAGGGATTAGGATATGACCAGACGAGTCTACGAGGCTACCTGCAAAATACACACCGAAAACAAAGCCGGGCAGAGATTACGAGTGCGCCCATGTTGTGGCCCCAGAGCCAGACCACAGGTGACTCTTCTGGGCCGCAGCGAGCCTCCTGACCATCCCCGGTCCCCACGGGTCAGACTGGAGTCAGTGCTCACCTTGTCGGGGTAGGGCCGAAAACACCTGGGACTGAAGTACATTAGGTCAGAGTGACCTACCTGGACCACGTTCAAGTTCCCAACTGCACCTTCGGTGTCACAAACAAGGTTTGCTGTTTAGCTTTGTCTTATCCTGAGTTAAAAGGTAATACGTGTTCATTATAAAAAATTTAAAATACATATGTACATATGCATGTGTGTGTATGCATACATACATGCATACCTGAGAAAGCGAACATTTCCATCACGCCTTCCCGACTTCTCTCCCCCTCCACATACGCACGGTGATAATATAATAAATACTCATTTCTAATCAAAAGCATAATACCCTTGAGGTCTAGTCTATAGGATCACACCATGACCACAAAATCCTTTACAGTGGATAAGCATATACACGAGTCTGCTCTTCACGGAAGAGTTTGGGGACTGATAGGAACGGGAAAATCATCAACGAGCATATACAAAAGAAGCAGGCGCTGAGATTTAGTAACCACCGCTCGCTATCTGGAGAAAATGCTTAGCAAAGATGAAGTGCAACCAGGAAGTAAACTGATACAAACGACACAAGAATGTCTCCAGGGCTGATAAATTAATCCTCGCTGACGATACAATCACGAAATCTTCCCCTTCATCCCGAAGCTTCCGCTGACAGTGTTCTACGTAGGGACAGAGCTGCAGGAATGAATACGAGGCACAAGTGCTCAGAGTCCAGCGGGAAGACATGTGCAAAGACACACGTGGGTGGCAGGTGAGCCCTCAGGAGGACGCCCTGCGGGAGCTAAGGGGACGCAGGGAGGCAGGAGGCCCGGGAGTGCGGGGGCGTGAAGCACAGTTCTAGTGGTTAGAATTTTTATATAACTTGGCAAGACTTTTGGCATTTTTGACAGATTTGAGCACTGCAGGCACCAAACTCAGAGTGTCCCCCGCAGCCAGGAGGCTCACGCTCATGTTAGGAAACAGAACGGTGACATTTTAGCTGGTGTGTCAGACGGTGCCCCCATGGGCTGGTGGTGGCTCGGTGTCTGCAGTGAACGAGGCTGTGCTGTCCGGGGCTGGCGGCCTAAGCACTCAGGGGGCTTCCCTAGTCAAAGGGCCCAGGCCCTGGTCCCCAGCATCATTTGAAATTACGATTTCATCTTCTCAGGGTGCGAGCCAGCCTTCCCTGCTGCTGGCCTGGGAGGAGTGCTGGTGGACACACATCCTGACAGAAGAGGAAGGGGGTTTCCTCGCTTTCCTGTCACATCAAATCACTCTCAGAGAAACCTGATTAGAGAGAGCTAAGGAGCGCGGCTCTGTCTCTTGGGCCTGCCTAAAACTCCCTCGCAGGGAACGCGGGACTGGACGTGCAAACGCCGCTGTCCGTGCTGCACAGAAATGACTGTGCTTTGCAGATGCTACGTTCCACATTCTTCTGCCCTGGTTCTTCACTGTCGAGAGCGTCTGCCTGAGGACTGGATGCTTGAGAACTGACCCCCTCCCCTCCCGCTCATTTTGCGCTGGGAATCATTATCCTCTGAATGTCATTTCTGCAGCCACCAACGTGGTCTCAGGCAACACGTGCGGGGCAGAGGGGGCCTTTGAAAACTGTCTCAGCAAACGTGACCCTGGATCCTCAGGAGTCGGCTTGGAATTCTAAAATTTTACATAACATAGGATATTTGGTGCTTATAGAAATGCCCTCAGTTCTTTCCTGCTTTGTGGCTTTTAGGAAAATGCAGCAGCGGTGGGAAAATGTCCCCAAGGGGAAAGCGCAGGTCAGCGGTCTGTTTGTAAACAGGAGCATCCCCCGCCCATCTCCCGCCTCCCCGGCATGCTCGGCTGTACGCCTCTCTGCACACAGGGACGTTATCTGATTTCACTGGCACCCCCTAGTGGACATTATCGTGCATGTCACACAGTGGGAGCCCGGGAAGCCTTCATTACCTGTTAGTGGTCATGGCAGCCGTCAGGATGGTTCGGATGAGGACCCTGGAGGCCAGAGAGGTTAGGAGACTTGCACAAGGCGGGACTGTCCCCTGGAGTCCCAGCTTCCTGACTAACTCGTGACTAACCCTGTCAGCCTGCAATGGGGACACAGCCGGACCGCTCTCCCTGGGCACCCTCATGTGCAGTGGCCCTGAGGGGGGCCCGGGAGTCAAGGCGCTGCTGGGGCTTCTCCACGACGGCGCAGCCAGACCACAAGCAAAATTCCTGTTCGTCCCTGATACACGCTGCAGTTTATCAAGCCTGCGTCCTTACGCGTTCGTACAAAGCGTAGAAAACCACGTAGCGGGCACTGATTATTTGATTAGTACCAAAAACTGAAGAAAGTGCAACCATGTGCTTTTCATCCCCTTTGTGATCCTGATCTGACTGCTCCTTGGCAGAGCAACGTGCATTTGGGGGGCTAACGGGACCCCTGCCTGCTGAGGCCACACGGTGTCAAAAGCTGTCGGGGAGCAGTCGCGCCTGGGGAAATCGGAACGTGCTGCTGAAGATCTATCTGATGCCATTCCAGGCGGAGAGAAGATTAGTTCGGGTAAGGTAGAAAATTAACCTTTTTCCCAAAAAATATTCACATGCATGCTCTCTGAGTTCTTCTGGAAAGTTATCCAAGTTCTCTGGTGCTTGGTTTTCTCATTTATAAACGGAGCATGATGCTATGTTTACCTGGTATTGCTCTGAGGATGCAGTAAGAGGATGCCCAGCATCGTGCAGCTGGTGTGTGGCAGGGCCAGGACACACCCTGTCACTCGCACCTGGAGCCCACGTGCTAGGAGGCGTGGCCCCTGTGTGCGGGGCTGGTCTGCGGAGGGTTCTATCAAGTAACAAGAGGAGCTTTGTAGGCGGAGGCCTCACTCGGGGCGTCGCTTCATTCCTTTCCCCTTTGGGCAGCCCTTTGTTGATTTGTCTTAGTCAAAAAGTCCTGCCGAGTCCTGAAATCGAACTTGTAGTTCAGCTGGCTTGGGAGTCCCACCCCACCTGCCCCGAGTTCTGGGAGCAGCAGTACGGGAGTCAGGGGTGGCCTCTCGGTCCTGTGCGTCCTTTGGGTCTCTACCCTCTTGTCCTAGGTATGGCAGGATGTGTCACACTATCCAATAACAGAAACAGGGGTGGATCGAGGAAGAGATTCCGTCCGTAAGAGAAACAACGGGGACATGGCGATAAGTCCAGGAACAGTTAGCCGAGGGGAAAAAAAGCTAAGAATGTGGTTTTTCTTCTGCTACACCCTTATCAGAGCTGGCTCTCGCACCTGAGGAGGAGAGACACTCAGAGACAAACAGAACTGTATTTAGCAGACCCCTTGATGCTTAAAAAGAGAAATAAACTGAGGCATTACCAAGAAGAGCAACCAAATCAGCCATCGGCTCATTAAGGATGCCACCGAAGGTCCCCGAATGGAAGTCCTGGTCTCTGCATTTCACCTGTGAGGCAGGGAAAAGAGAAGAGACACATCACTGCCTGGCGTCCCTTGGCGATAGCGTTTTGCACATGGCAGACAAGCCGGGTGTGTCCCTCAGAACTCAGGGAGGCGACCTCAGACCTGACTTCACCTCCCGTATTTCTCCATCGCCCCACGTGAAGCCTCCACCCCTCTCCTTTTCTTCATTCCCGCTGTCTCCCGAACCCCCTGAGACCCCCTGCATCTCCAGCTACTCCACCAACCACATCCCAGCCAAGACCGCCAGGCCCTCCTCGGCCAAATGACAGAAGTCTACACCATTGTCTCCCTCTCGGTTTCACCCCGTGCTGCTGATCATCCCTCCCTCTGGAGAAACTGTCGTCTCTTTATTGTTTTCTTGCCCGCGGGACCCGTCTATTATTTAACACAGCTCCTCTGACAACGTCTGTTCTTCCTCCCACCCCCAAGTCTCATCCGTGGCTTGTCCTTCCTCTGTCCACAGACCTTCAAGAACTCACATGAACTTCGCACACCCTGGTGTTCATCCCTGTCGTCTGACCTTTCACCTGAACGCCACACCCAGAGTGACGGTGCCTTCCGCTCGGGTGCGCGTCCAGTCTCCGGAAGTCGGTAGGCGGAGAGCCGAACTCAACCCGCCCTCCCGCAGTTGCCTTCGAGCAGCCTGCTCTCGCCCCTGGGCACCACGTGCAATCGGCTACCAGTTTCCAGTCAATTGCGTTAATTTTAAATAGTCTCTGCAGCTCATCCCCTCCCATCCTCCTCGCCAGCTGGTCTCGCCCTGCTCCAACATCTTTCAGGCACAGCCGGGGGACCTTCTGTCTGGGCGCTTTCGCCGAGGGTTCCTTTCACCAGGCGGCGACGCTAGCTAAGCACTCCCGCCTTCTGCTCACACGTCCTCTCCTCCTCCCCTCCGGTCATTTTCTGCCCCACCTGCTCTTGGACCTCAAGACGTCCCATCCCTTGATCCTTCTGAGATTTCCCAGACTGTGGTCCTCCTGCCTTTACTTTCCCCTGTTCAACCTAAATGCCACAGGGCATCACCGGGACCTCTCTGTGGGCATCACCTTGACTCCCATGCCTATCTTCTCCGTCATGCTGGTCGGGAACGACCTCAACCCCAGCCAATGCAACCCATGTGGCCTTCGCCGCCCCTGCGTGCTGAGCACAGAGTCGTCCATTTGTGTGGACAGGCCACACCTCACCCTTGAGGCCTCCTGGCCCTTCTCTAGCCCTTTCTCTTACCCGTTCCCCATGGCGACCACTTCGAGCCATCGCTTCTCCATGGGTAAACTCACTTCCTACTCAGCAGGAAACACTGAAGCCAACAAGAGGGCAGAAGTGCCACAGCTGTTCTCTCTCTTCCTACCCGATGCCCTTGCAGAGAGGTTAATTCCTTTCCTGGCTCGGGACCCCAGCCCTCCTCCTGCTCAGCCCCGTCTTACGCCTCTCCCGGGGAGGTCCCCAGCTGCTGCCTCTCCCCTGTGTCCAGAAGGCCCCCCCCATGCCTGGCTCCGCCCTTCCACAGTAGGGTTTCTTGAGAGCAGTTTCTACAGCACAGGCCGTGCATCATCTCTGTGTCTGCATCTCGCTAGGAGTAAACTTCTTGTGGGCAGAGAGACGCCAGCACCCCTTCCACCTCCCCTCGACCCTGTCACTTGGTCTCCAGCCCCTCGACCCGCAGGCACCAACCCGGCATCTGATCAGGCAATCTCCTTACCTCCCTGCGGGCTGCTGTTCCTGCCTCCAAATTCCACAGCCGTAGTTTCTAAACCTTTGGCATTGTGGCTCACAAACCCCTATGAATCCTCTCACCCGAAAAGTGCATGAAGCACAACCACTGCAAATTTTGGAGGGTTCACGAACTCCCCAAACCCCAAGGCCTCTGTGACCTCCCCCTGGCCGCGTGTCCCAGGTAAGGACTCGGCTCTTGGAAGCACTTTATCTCTTCCTCCGCAGGGTCCCAGCACGGGGTCCTCACTGTATACGCAGCCCCCTGTGCCTCCTGCACGTGCTGTTTGCAGATACCTCCACCGTGAAGTAGCTGTTCCCGCGGGTCCCGTAGGTGACCGCTGGCTTCCTTCGACTGACCCACAGGTTATCTGAAATCACGATGTAGTCCACGCCAGAGAAGAATCGGTCCTTTTCTTTTTGAACAAGCTCCTCCAGGGCGACAGAACCGGCCTCTTCCATCCCCTCAAGGATGAATTTGATATTCACAGGGAGATCCTGAGTTAACAATGGAACAAAAAAAAAAAATGGCACACCTTGCCCATTCACATTTTAAGATCCAGGATTCATTTGTACATAATACAAATACATTAAATTATTATTTAAACTCAATGTGTGAATTATTTACACTCCCAACAGTTCTGCTTACAGCAATGGAGTTTTAGGTAAGATTGTGAAGGAGAATTCAAGGTGACGCCCTGCACACGTCAACATGGCCCATCGCTTCAAGGTTATGATAAGAGTTGGGGGAAGGAATTCCTGCAGGAAAGGCAAGGTCTACCCTTGGAGCTTGGCTGTGCTACAGAGGGAGGCATTTTCCTCCTCCCCGCAAAAGGAATTTGTCAAGAAAGGTTACTCAACTGCATATCGCTTTTCTGTCCTTGTAATTCTGAGCATGATAAAGGAGAACTTTTTCCTTTGAAAGATTGTTAAGCCTCAGGATAACTTTTACTCCCAGTATCTGTTATTTTTCAGCCATGATTGCCATCTGCCTTTTAACTTACTCAAGGGCTTTGATCTTGTAGCAAAATGGGACTTGAGTTTTTCTCTAGTTAATATTAGGGCATGAAATAGCTCCTTTAAAATTTTTACAACATGCCTCTTCTCCCATTTGGTTTTGATCTTTTGTATCTTTATAATTTATAACGTCATAACCTCCAGAGCCGCATAAAGAGGAGAGAGAGGTCAAAGTCCTTTCCTAGAGCGCGGAGCCGGCAGGACAAGGGCGGAAGTGACTACAGCAGAGACGTCGCACGGCACAGCCGCCTCCGTCAGCGCCAACGAGCGGCCTGACTCACCACAGATTAACACGTGCAAAGTGAGCAGAGGATTATGTGTTAGAAAATAATAAATATGTCATAATTAAAATCAGAACATTGGTCATCACTTGGATAAGGGCATTGTAGGATAATGATTTGTTCAAATGTATCACTTGCTCATCTGTGTGTCTTAGGAAGTTGAGCTAAAGTTCTAAAAACTTAATATTCAGAAGTTCTGTATTAACATTTAACTAGCAAACAATTGCTGAGAAGTAGTCGGAAATCGCAGCGCATTCTGTGCCTGTGGGACGTGGACGTCAGTACTCGCTCTGCCTCCTGGGGAAACCATCAGGGGTGTGTGCCGAGGTGCTGTGGGCAAGGCAGGAAGCGAGGGAGGAAGAAGGAGGGGACCTTCACGAAGGACCCGGGCCCGCCAGAGTGCCTTTGCGCTATTTCCTCATCACCCGCAACAAGCCTGTGGGTAGCAATTACCTTCCCAGTTCACAGATGAGGAAAATGAGGCTCAGAGAGATTACCTGACTTGTCCAAGGGCAGCGAGCATTTCTCACGTTTTGTTCGTAATTATGTAACTATCAGAGTTAAAATTTAAAATGCAAAGCAGATTTTGGCCTTTATATAGGAACTATCTTATAAATATTGCTTATCCCTGGAAAGAAAGGAAAAAAGAAAGAAGAAAGAGAGAGAGAAAAAGGAAGGAAGGAAGGACGAAGAGAGAGAAGGGGGTGGGGAGAGAGAAAGCACCCAAGGCCACCGTGAATGTTTGCGCCTTACGAGGTGCGAGCGTCGTGGGCGAGAAGGCAGGAACCCGGCCTGGTTTTGGCGCCTGCCTTTCTCCAGGGGATGGAGGAGTCAGTGCGCATGGGTAGCTCCCTCTCATCCACTTAGGTCTCAGGAGAAAATAAACTTCCGAGTGAGAAGCCCTGGCCTCTGATGAAATACCCTCCAGGAAGAGCCACCCGCAGCTCAGGGCTGCAGTGAAGGATGGGATTTGGGAGAGGCGCCCAGAGATCCAAGCCGGGAAGCCGTGGGCGTGGCTGGGGCTGCTCCACTGGGTGACTCAGTGAGTGTTTTATGCGTCCCTCTGGACAGCGTCAGAGATGCGCCCCTGCTCTCAGCTCTCCCCAGGACGGGCGAGATGGAGACAGACACAGCTACACCCGGGTCTCCGGCCTCTGCCCCAGCAGGGGAGCTCGTGCCCAGAGAGGGGATTTGCTCTGGGGATGGCACCGTTTTCCTTTTTGCCCTCGAACTCGGCAGACAGGCCCCATTTCCTTCTTAAATACCCAGCGTTGGAAACTGCTTTGTACAGTGAAGCCACGTGAGTAGGACGAAGAGGCAGAAAGGCTCCTAAGAACACGTCTAAGGTTTGCTCCCCAGAATCCTTCTGCACCCCAAGGCATGGGGCTGGGGCATTGTGGGGTCAGGCTTGGAGCTCGCTCTAAGTCTCATGCATGTCCCACGCCCCGCAAAGCCAATACAAAGCGCCATTGCTATTATAACGCCATGTGGAACAATGTTTATATTACCTGCCTCTAAATACTTGTGTAAAATATCAATCCCGTGATTTAAGAATTGCTGACGTTAGATTTCCTGCTCCAAACTGCACTTTGAGGAATGTTCAACAATGAGCACCCAGTAACTTGGGTCTAAGCAGAAGAAAAAGGGTCCCTGAGGAGCTTTCTAGAAAGCTGAGGCCATCTCAGTGTGTCTTAGGAGGTCCTGGGGTGGGAAACGGTGCCAGTGTGACCTAGGGGGCCAGGTGGGGGTCCCCGACATCTGCACTTCCAGCTCCAGCCGGGCCTGACACATTGTAGAGCTCGCAGGCTTTCCGCAGCTGTGAAGCCCGGGAGGCGCGTCCCTGGGGCGAGCCTGGGAGCTGGGAGGGAGGGCTTGCCCTCCCCATCTCAGGCCACTCCCAGCCCGGAAGCTGCCTCCTCTCCCTACAAGTTTCCCTGAGCATGGAGCTGGCTCAGTGACAGTGGCATGGGGCGTCTTCCTAACCAGCAGGTCCCAACGTCCCCCGAGTCGGCGGTGAGAGAGGGAGAGCAGGGGCCCAGGCTCTCCCCACCTCAAGGTCCTCAGCATCCAGGCGGCCTGAGTGCAGGCAGGTGGTGGCGAGTGAGCCGCACAGTGTCAGAGCCGCCACCCGCGTCAGCATCAGCGTACTTTCTTTACAGAACAGAATCTGAGGCCCAGAGAGATTAAGTCACTTGCTCACAGCCACACAGCTAAATTCAGTCCTCTGCTAGAATCTAAGCACATCCATTAGTAGGAGGGAAAGGAGAGGTTTGAGACAAAACCATCCTTTTGAGAACACAATATGAGACTGTTAAAGACGCAAACCCGGATCCACCAGCCATGTCCTCTGGTGGTGGAAAGAGTGGGCTCCCCTCCCTCAAAGCCACCCCCTGCCTCCCTTCCACACCCCTTATTTGGACATTTAGAGAGAACAACTGGGCTCCTAGGGAAAGAGGTCTAAGGATCCAGGCAGAGTGTCATGGGAGTTCTGTCTCGATCATTTGCAAAGCAGCTAATACAGTTTGAAAAATGGGTGTGGGTCTCTCTTAACAAAATCATACTCTGTGATGAGAAGGGAGGGAAGATTACAAAAACATGAGATAAGATAAAAATACAGGTTAAAAATAACAGACAAGCCAGTAGATAGTAACTTAGCCACAGGCTCATCACATGTCTGTTTTTATTTTTTAAAGACTAAGTCTTGCTCTGTGGCTCAGGCTGGAATGTAGCTCACTATAGCCTCAAAGTCTCGAATTCCTGGGCTCAAGCTATTCTTCCACTTCAGGCTCCCGAGAAGTTGGGGCTATAGGTACACACATTCCCAGCTAATTTTTAAACATTTTTTTAGAGATGGGGTCTCGCTATGTTGCCCAGGCTGGTCTTGAACTCCTGGCCTCAAGTGTTCCTCCCACCTTGGCTTCCCAAAGTGCTGGGGTCACAGACATGAGCCATTGTATCCAGCCTTCATTGCACGTTTTGCTGCATCTTGTTTTTTAATGTAGTTAACAGCACAGGCTTGAATCCACCCTCTAAGCTAATGCCTTGCCACTCGCTGGGCCACTTTGGGTAAGCACACTAATCTCCCCAACCTTACTCTTCTCATCTGTAAAATGGATGTAATTGCAACGCACACCTCCCAAGAGTGTTGGGAAGTGTAAATGACACAATGCAGTTTGCTTAGAACACAGTGAGCAACTCAAAGCACATGTAGCTATCATCCTCCTCAGCCCTCTCTCCCAGACACAGCTAACCGGTCACCTACTTGCTCCAGGGCTTGGAAGGTGCTCACGGCATTAATCCACGCCAAAACCGGGCCTTTGTTGTCTGTGGCTCCTCGTCCGTAAAGTTTTCCTTTAAAAATGGGAGAAGAATTTTCAGAAAAGCATGGTCACCTCAGCCAAGTTAAGCGCATTAAAAACAAAGGTCATTTTATGAGTGATAATTTTAACAGTGTTTTCTAATATCCCGGGCACATATCTTGCTGTGAAATTGCAAAGTATGATTTCTTATATACACATAGTATGGTCGTCATTGAGTCAGATAAAATAAGCTAATTTGAACAGACGGATTCCACTGGCCTCAACAGTAATCGGCTATATTTTCCAAGTTCACTGACGGGACCCGAGAATTTCTTATAGAACATCATTCAGCATAGCCTCTCATCTTGAGAGCTTACAATTAGTGGAAGAATGAAGAAAAGACGTATGTTTATCTCTATTAAGATTTCTTCTTATTTTCTTTATAAAATGCGAATTATTGGGTATTGCTGAAAAGGAAAATGTGTCACCCAGATAACTGTTTTCTTCACAACCCAGGAACCCTATCTAGGGGCACAAAGGTTCATAGTTTCTTTCATAAATGAAGGAAAATCAGCCTCATTGAACCAATCGGTAGACTATGAGAACAGTATTTCTTTTTTTTTTCTTTTCTTTTTTCTTTTTTACTTTTTTCTTTATTCTACTGGAGTCTTCTAAGACCAATAAATTTTTAAAAGAGCTTATTTAGGTATAATTGACATATAATAAACAGCACATATTTAAAGGATGCAATTTAAAACATATTGGCATACGTATACATCTATGAAACTATCACCACAACCAATATAATGAACATTCCATCACCCTCAAAATTTCCTTGTGCCCTTTTTTCATCTCGTACTGCCAAACCTGCCCTTCCTTCCCCAGGCAACCACTGATTTACTTTCTGTTGTTATTATAGGTTAGTTTGCATGTTCTAGAGCCGTTTCTTTTTTTTTAACCATCACAAACAGGACTTTGTATTTTTCATTATCTAAAGTCTGAATTTTAAACAGATTCTTGGACTGGTGGTTCATATCCATCAGCTCATTCAACTTTAGCACCCGTCTCATTCCCTGAGAACAGTATTTCTCTTCATTCTTTTTTTTTTGAGACAGAGTCTCACTCTGTCCCCCAGGCTGGAGTGCCGTGGTGTCATCATAGCTCACTGAAGCCTCAAACTCCTGGGCTCAAGCGATCCTCCTGCCTCAGCCCTCCCTGTAGCTGGGACTACAGACATGCGCATGTACCACCACACCCAGCTAATTTTTCGATTTTTTGTAGAGTCAGGGATCTCGTTCTTGCTCAGGCTGGTCTTAACTCCTGGCCTCAAGCAATCCTCGGCCCCGCAGAGTGCTAGGATTACAGGCGTGAGCCACCGCACCATCCTCTCTTCATTCTTAATAAATGACCCGGAGCCCCGGGACAGAGTCCCATCTCAGATCCTTCAGCCCCGGAAGCAAGCCCTGTCCCCAGCACTGATCCCCGCCGCCCCGGCGCCTCACTGACCGTCCACCTCCGTCAGCACGTAGGGCTCCGTGAGCCATCCGTCCCCCCGGGCAGCAGGCTGCACGTCCAGGTGGCCGTAGAAGCACACGGTGGGTTTCTTCGGGCCGTTCCCCAGCTCGGCCAGGATGATGGGAGGTATTGGAAGACTCTGACCGTCAGGCAGCTGCAGAAACACAGAGGGTCACAAAACACCCTATTGTTCTTCCAGAACATTCAGACGTGGCATTAGGAGCCCTGTCCACTCTAACCCTGGGTCTTCAGAGGGCCCGTGTCATTTCTCTGAGCAGCACTTTCTTCATCTCTAAAACGAGTGCCACGAGATGCTTTTAACTAAGACATAAAATATAATTAAAAGTATCGGCCACTTCCTTAGACAGGAATTGACAAAAAGCACGGCAAATTGTGCCCTTCAACAGGGACTCAGATCTCAGGGGCGTAGGTTAGGCGGACGCAGTCCCGGAAGACGAGGCCGCCCTGGGCTGTTGAGCGCTAAGGCAGGCTGCGCGGGGCGCTTGGGTTTGCGATGGTCACTCGCGGCGAGCGAAAGCTCTGGCAGTGACTCTGGTGAAAGGACGCAGCTCTCTATAAGGGCCCTTTGGGAAGATGCACAGGAATTTAAGGAAAGGCCAATCTGGGAGAGATTTGGGCCGCGTGCACAGGGAGCCAGCAGTGCACGGGCGCTGCCGTAGCCAGCCGGCCCCACTCGCCCCCGCCCCAGCGTCCTGGCGTGACAGTCAGTGAGAGTCTCATGGGAGACCAGGCGCAATGCGCCATCCTCACCGGGAAGCGGGACGTGGGGGTTTGCTTGCGGATCGGGGAAGCCCCTCTCCCGCCACCACCAAAGGAAGGCCTGGCGGATGTGCAGAGGTGGCAGCCCCTTAGGTGGGAGGGAGCCGGGCCGGCACCTGCTGCGACCCCGTGTCCACGGAATCCACGCTGGCTCCCAGGCGCCGGAGCTTGTCGGCGGCCACGGCCATCATTCTGCAGAGCTCTCGTCTGAACCGAGGCGTGGGCTGCACGGAGTCACTCTCAATGGCCACCCAGTCCTTTAGCGTCTAGGAAGAAAGGCAAGGAGAGGATTAGTCTTGGCGGGTCCCACAGCCGCTCTGGGCGGGGCGATGGGGGAGGGAGGAGACGACAAGTCCCCAAACACTGTTCAGTTGGTCGAGGACTGAAGGCTGCCCAGTGAGCTCTGTGACATCCACAAGTAACCGGCAGACGGGGACTCAGAGGCCAGAGACGTCTGGTCAATGCAGAAGAGTGGGCGGGGCGGGTTGGGGCAAAGGTGTCTTCTCGAGAGACGTGCGCTCTGCTCCCCCTGCGGCACTGGGGCTGCAAAGAAGGGCAAGTTCCCACCCACTGTTTCTAATTACTAAGAACAGCTCTTTCCTGGACTCTTGGCTTCCCACAAATGCCCCTGGAGGCCTCCTGGCCACTGCAGGTGACACCAATTTAATCCCACAGTGGCCTCAGCTGGGCTGCAGGGCTCCTCCTGACGCGCTCTGCATTTAGATTTCCTGGCCGGGACCTCCCCGCACCGCTGGGACCCAGGCAGTGCGACCCTGGGCTTGAACTCAGTGCTGGGCGTGAGACAGCCTTAGTTCCTAATCCTGTCCTGCCTGTTGCAGTCGTGTGACTTCGAGCATGTTCCTTAACCTCCCTTAGCCTGAGTTCTGTCATCTTTACCAGAGGGCGACGCTCCCTAAGGTGAAGATGAAGAGATAACGTGTGCACGAAGCTTAGCGCACTGCGCGGACCTGGCAGGTGACGAGTGCGCTAGCAGCAGTCGTCATTCTCATCCCCGCGGCGGAGCCCGAGTTGCTCGTACTGGGACAGTCTTCATCTTTATGAAAAACCACACACATTTTCAGTGGCCAGTTTGGACTTCTCCTAACTTAGTTGAGTTTGATCTCTCTACCCTGGTTGTAGCACTTTTATGTTTGTTACAAAAGAATTTATTTTTAACCTTCGGGAATATCGCGCTTTACATTTTTAAACCAGACTCTGCAGAGCAGACACTGCGGAGTTCTCCCAGGAGTGGACGTGGGTATGTTGGAGGAAGTCGGGAAGAGGAGACATTTGGGCCAAAAGGCCCAGTTGGTGGTCGACCCCCACCAGACACCATTTCTCCACCCCTATTCAGTCCAGCCTGTTCCGGAACCCCCACTCGGGTTTCAGAAACCCAAGAGGCACCTAGGACAAGTTAATATTCCAGGAAGAGGCAGGATTACATGAAGGTCAAGCTCAGGAACAGGGGCCTGGATGTTCAGTTTCGTACATTTAGTGTGAAACTCGAAGGTTTACATCTAACTGTTTGCACACGACAACATTCTGAGATTGGTTGACTGATCCAATACACATATATTGAATGCCCATAATGTGCCAGACATGGCGTGGGGGGCTCGGGGTACAAAGTCCAGTCAGACCCCCCAGAGGCCCCTGGCTGGTGAGCACAAACACCTCATCAGTGTGTGGGGGCTGTGGTGATGGCCAGACACCCAGGAGGGGACATGACACCCCCCGTGGGGGGGAGTAGCTGATGAGAATGCGGGAATGGCAAGCTCCTGCTCCCCGCAACCCCCTCCCTCTCCCCGTCCTCCCTTCCATTTACGCGTGGGGCCGTGTGGTGCATTAGGACACTCCGAGGATCATAAAGGAGGAGACAAAGTCCATCGAACTCTGCAGAGCTCCCTAGTGCCCTAGCTCTGCCTAGGCCTCACCTGGAGCCAGGTGGCATTGCTCATGGGTGACACAGCTCAGCAGAGTCTGCTGGTCACCTCCAAATGGCCGTCCCTCAAGCAGATGTGCTGGAGTGCAGAGCGCGCCCTTTCCAGGTGGCGTGGCTGGAGCATCCCTTCCGTGGATCTAATGACTATTGATGACTTTACTCCAATGAGGAGTCGCAGACATTTCTTTAATAGAGTAAGTTGTCAGGCGATCTCCAAGCAAATAGTAGCTTTCCCCAGATAGCCAAAGGGCGTGATCCAGGCGCTGGGTGTGTAGCTTCTCCTACCTGCACAAACGCGTCCTGCTGGAGATCGATGTACTGGAAGAGCTTCTCCAGCAGCCCCGCGGGCGGGGAGGACGAGAACATCCCTCCCTCCAGCAGCAGCAGCAGCGCCAGGAGCGAGGACGCCTGCGAATGGTTGACAAGGAAGAACAGTTTCAAATAAACGCCAGTTGTTGGACTTTTGACTTTTCAAATACTTAAAAAAAAGTTTGTTATCCAACACAGTTGCTTCAAGTCAGTCGGACCAAAATCGCACAAGCTGGTAGAACTAGAAATGTATTTTTTTTGCTACATTTCCCCCCAGACCCTTCTTTCTCATGCCAAAGAAGTTTAATCAGACAGAAACCAAGTCTTTAAACAGTGTAATTCGGTTGATTCCTGGGATGCCAGGTGTCCTCCCGGTCACTGCGGTGAGGCGTCCCAGGTGTGAAGGGCAACACTGGGAAGAGAGAAGTGTGAGGTAAAACCAAAACCAAACACGCAAAAACTGCTATGTGTGATTAACCTCTTCACTAGACAAGATCGTCTGTGAGGAATGCCTGAAATCCTGTGCAGTGTTGTGGGGTTTCTTTCCACCAGCTCCTGAAAGCAGAGAACTTCAAAAGAAGGAAAGGAACAGAAGCTCACACATCACTCTGTGACAAATGACGCACAGGAACTTAAGCGCCTGGAGCCCCTGACATCAGTCAGCCCCTGGGAACACCCTGGTCCCCTCTCCTGGCTCCCTGCCGCCTCGCTGGTTGCCCTCGGTCTCTGATGGGTCCCTTCCCTCCACAGGCTCTCAGGGAGGAGCCCGTGGCCCTGTCCCCTCCCCTGTCACTCTTCCTCTCGACTCAGCCCCATGCCGGGCACAGTCTCACCTACCCATGCTGGGGGTACCTCTACCTGTGTGTCCCGGGACCCTGTGAGGAATCATTCCTTCTGGAACCCAGATGCTAACTAACCATCCTGCGGCAAAGCCAGCAAGAGAGCCCCGGAGGCAGCCAGCCACGAAGGGCCAGCATGCGGCTCTGTGTACATACAGTGCAGAGCGGGTACATGCGCAGAGACAGAGGGTAGGGTGGGGTCACCTGGGTGGAAACGGGAGCAACTGCTAATGAGTAGGGGTTTCTTTTGGGTGAGAAATTGTTCTAAAACAATTGATTATGGTACTGGTACAACTGTGAATATACTAAAGACCACTGAATTACACACTTCTCATGGGGAATTGTAAGGTATGTGCATTATATTGCAATGCAGTCACTATAAAAATAACAATCACAAATATAACCACTCATTGGACAATAGAAACATATTATTGAGTATGAGAAATGCAAACAAAGGAAGCTGAGTGTGGTTAAAATCAAGGTAGACGTGAGCCGATCAAGAACTTGGTCCAGCAGATGGCGCAGGCGAGCGGCCCGCGCTCTCCCTCCTGTGCGGCGCCAGGACACAGCAGGTGCAGCTGCGCCAGGGACCCGCCAGGAGCAGGCGTGGCAGGTGCATCGGGTGAGCGTGACTCCCTAGACAGAGCCCCGTGCAGGGGATAGAGCTCAGGGCGCCCAGGAAAGCGTCAGCGCAGGCTCCTGGAGACGACATAGGCGACCTTTAGCGACCGAGCCATCAAAACTAACTTTGGAACTTTCGTTTTTCCATCAGACAATTCCATTTAAAAAAGTATTAGGTGCTTCCCTCCAGTGAAAAATAAAAAGGGAAATTTGAAGAAGAAAAAGAAACCACAGGAAAAAAGGGAAAACAGCACTTATAAGGACCGAGAGTATTTCAGATTCCAGCAGGCGCCGCCTCCGTGGGCAGGACAAGCGCAAGGAGGGCGGCTGTGGCGCTGACGGCAGGGTGGCCGGAGGGGATCCCGGGGCTCCACTTTCTCTCCCTTCTTGACTTTTCTCCCCTGACCTCTCCCTGGCCCTCCCGGCCCGCGGGCTCGGATCCTGCCTTGAGGGTCTCTGGGTGGGATCCCCGGCGCCACCCGTGTGCTCCTGTCCCTTCCCTTTGCCTTTCTCTTTGTTTTCTTTCAGTCCTTCTTGACCTTGAGCTACTCAGCCAAGGAAAACCCGGGGATTTAGGAAGGTTAGTCCTGGGCTTTTTTCCTTTGCAGAAAGAAGGCGGAGCCGGAGCAGGAAGGTGAACGTGGGCCCGGGCTCGGAGCGCTTCCTGTGCAGGGGCCGCGCGGGCGCCCCAGGGTGACAAGCTCCCCTGGGACCCTGACGGGAGCCCCGCAGCTCTGGCCCGTGCGAATCGCTGCCAGCCGTTCTTAGATGTTTGGAGTGGGCACAGAAGTTCCAAGTCCCCCCGTGCCGAGTCTCACCTGTAAATAATTTAACTTCTAAGAGGCCGTGAACATCCTCTGCTGTGTTTCCGACCCCTGCACTGCCTGAGTCTTCTTAGCGCTTTTTTAAAGACGCTTGAGTGGATTTTATTGTTCTCAGAAGAAATCTGCAAATCCCAGTATTCGACATAATCTCTGGGATATTAGTGGCTTATGGCTTAGAGCTTCGGTCTTTCTTAGACTTTGCCGGGCTCTTTTTTTTTTTATTTCAAAGTATTCCAGGGGCACAAATGTTTTTGGTCATATGGATCACTTCTGTGGTGCTCGAGTCAGGGTTAAAAGTGTGCCTGTCACCCAAATAGTGTCCTTAGCATGTTGACGTCTCTTCCTTCTGTTTCTTCTCCCACAGCAGCTCAGCCTTCGGCTTGTCATCCTCCTCCCAGCCGGCTCTGGCCAGCAAGTGGGGACGTCGGGTGACCTGGGCGCTCTGCTGGCTGAGGCCCTCACAGAGGCCTGGGCTACCTTCTCCCGGGACGCCCCTGTCCCCACAGGAGAACTGCGGGCTTCCCTGCAGGAGGCTGGGAAAACCCACCACTGCACCGAGTGTCCGTGCTGTTCCTTCTGGTGTTTGATAGAATAAAGAACAGAAAATGAAAGCACTCTTGCCTTCCACCCCCCAGAGCCACACGACCCGCACGGTGGCCAATCGGCCGGACCTTTCCACGGGAGGAAACCTGAGTGCCGGAGTCAACTTCCATGCCGGGAATTCTACTTACCCAGACGTGTCTGGAGTCCTGGGACTGTTTTACAGAGGCTGGTCTGTCCTGTGCCTGCTTCGATGAATTTGTTATCACACAGAAAAACATTCGATTAGCCTAGTTTATTTACCAGGACAGGGACTTTTAAATAACAACGAAAACAGGCTCTTCTGGATTGTGTCGACCCCTGCAGCACACAGCCAGCATGCAGATTGACTAACCGGCTGTGGCCACAAGTGCCTGTGCGGGAGCCGGTCGGGGCAGGGCTTCCTCGGACTGCGGCATGAACAGACTCTAGAGTGGGGGAAGCAGTTTCCAGGAACAAAATTCCCCAGGAATCCCAAGAACCTTTCTCCACTACCCTCTAGTCAGGTCTGATCCGTGTGTCTGACCCCAGAGAACTCTGGCTGCAGCCATTTAGCTTAGACTCATCCCCAGAAGGTGATGCCTGCACCCCCCGTGCAAATGGCCAGAAACACTGACAAAGGCCACCTGGTGCCAGGACACCAACAAGGCTGTTTCTCAAATGCTGGGCGGAACCGTAAGAAGTCAGAGACCAACAGAGGCCGGGGACGGAGGAGGAATTGAGTGACAGTCATGGGGCAGTTTCGTGGCTCCGGGAGACCTGGCTGAGGACGGGTAACATAGAGTCTGAAACAAGGACAGTAGCACCTACCACTCACCCGCGGGAGGATGGCGGCAAGGACACGCGTGGGCACCTGCACGGCGTAGCCCAAGGCACTGCACAGGGTATCCTCCCGGGGCGGAAGCAGCGTGGCCAACACCTAGACGGCCCAGGTGGGCCCAGGTGGGCCCAGGTGGGTCCTCGGTGCTCCCGACTGTGTAGGGGGCCCTGTGAGCGCCTGCAGGGAGGGGAAAGCTTGCGCTGCTCGCGCGTGATGCTGGGGCGATGCTGACTGGAACACGGTCACCTCAGACCCTCTCTGTCCCTCCAGTCCGGCCAGGCATCTGGGCCTCTCCAAATATCAGCCAGAGAGACAGCCCGGCTTTGCACCACTTCCGGAGCCTTCTGTCACACGTTGTAGCACAAGGACAAAAACAAACCGAAAAAAAAAAAGAATGAACGAAATAACCAGAGATGCTATTATGTCTTTCACTGGGCGGAATCTATTGACGATTAAGTCGATACACTGAAATGTCCTCCACCAATGAGAGCGGTGTCACCAGGTAAAGCTGAACTGCAACCTCAAAGGCAAGAGCGTGTTCTCCAAGCCTGTGCCTGGAACAGGGCGTGGCCCTCAGTCTGGAAGGGCGAAGGGTGTAAATCCCAAGTGGCCGATGGTGGCGTCCCTGACAGCGGAGCCAGACCCCAGGCGGACTCCCCCCTCTTGAGAGAGCATGACTGTGGCCAGACCAGAGCCACTGCCTTCTTTCTTTAAATCCCATTGGAGTGATTTTTTGTGCAAAGTGTTAATAGGATAAACATAAAAACACACGCAGAAGAGATTGAGTGCTGCGGGAACAGCGTACGAAACCGGGGTGTCCCAGCAGCACAACAGCAGGGAGCCGGCCCCAGTCTGCCGGAGCCGGGAGCCGGGACAGACCCGGATCTCGGACGGAGGGACGGGTGACCAGGAAGAGAACGGAGATTTCTCAAGGAGTCAGGAGGGGCGGGTGGAATCCCGGTGGGACCATGTGGCAGGGCAGAGGCTCCAAAATGCAGGCATCAGCAGAGAGCGTCTCTTTTTCTAGAGACCTATAATTGCCTAGAAACCCTTTTTTTTTTTTTTTTT